CTCTCCCTCAGAGAAAGGCAGGTGGTCCCAATAAGGTGGTAACCTCCAATAACTGCTTTTGCAAGACGCTTAAGATAAATCTGTATTATCTCCACACTTATGTTCACTTACCCAAGAACGCAAGTTATGAACTGGAAAGGCCAATTCCAATTAAAGACATCTGGTCCAAATACTCTACCTCCACTTCAACTAAAGAGAATGAGTAAATGGAATGATTTTTGTTTTTTAAAAGTGCCTTGTCTGGAACCCTGAGTGAGAGCTGTTGGGAGTTAAAATTTGTTGGCCAGACTAACAAACCCCCAATAAACAAAGTAACTTTTCCAGTCATCCAGGTTTTGTCAGAGCCCAAAAAATACTGTGGCTGTAAACTTTTAGCAAAAGGGATAATAATATACTTGCACATAACTGTTAATTCTTTTGAAATGAGGGAAAATTCCAATTTACAAGTATATATACCTTTATGTCAGTAGAAAACTTATATCTGCTTAAGTTTAGTAGTCTTGTTTCATTTCCATGGAACTGGGAGGGGGGGGAATGTGCAACAATTTTTTTAAAGGGGGGAGGGATGAGTAAACCTAGTAACTCACTCTGGTTTCTGGTCCAGAAGCTAGTGACTAGTAAAAAGCTAAGCCACCAGTATTCTTTATAACTTTCAGAGAAAGCCACTTGGATAAAAGTCGGCTAAGCATGCTTCCTAGGCCCCAATTCCACTGCCAGGCACACCATCTTCTTCCCCCACTAACTGCAATGTGGTTCACTCTGAACACTCATAGCCCCATGAGAACTGTGCTCCACAGAGTTTTGGAAGATCACAGGGCCTCTCTTCCCCGGCACCTTTTGGGGACACTCAAATCCAGCCTCAGCAGCTCATCATCACACTGGCCACTGGAAGCAGGATAGGTCTTTCTTCTGAGTTACCACCTGGGATTCCAAACCACTGTTATGTGCCATCAAGCAGACTCAGTGACTCTGCACAAGAGCTCTGAACCCTGCTCTGTCCTGAGCCAATCTCCTGGTCTCTGACATACCTACCCTCATTACCTCAGTTATTTTGTCAATACATCTCATCCAGGCTTCTCTTCTCCTGTACTGTCACCAGATCCTTCCAAGCATATCCTGCCCTAAGTACATCGAGACAGAGCCTCAAAATCCTTGCTTCCAAGGAGCAGTGTGGTTTCACCCTCTCCAATACAGACCTCTTTGTTCTCTTGACAGTCCATGGTGTGTTCAATAGTCTTCTCTAGCACAGTTCAAAAGGCATCAATTCTTCTGACATCCTTAAGTGACTGTCCAGTTCTGATGCAGCGCAAGTAATTGCAAAGACTATGGCCTGGTATTCCAACCCACAGTGAGCCTATATGACAGAAAACTATCCCATGATACAGTCTTTATGGAAGCAGATCATTTGGTTGTTTCCATGGAAGCAACTGATGGGTTTAAAGACATCTATCTGTATTCTGATTAGCAGGCTAAGGATTTAACCACTGCACCTGGAGCTTCCTTTACACGCTCTTCATTTCTGTTGAGTCAGAACAAGCCAAAGGTTACCCTCCAGTGGGTTTCGAAGGTTATAGATCGCACATTAGGGTATTACCTATCTTTCTCCTGCAGAGATACTGGGAGATCCAAACTGTCAGAGGAGCAGCTTTAGGATTAGCAGAGTGACTCCCCATGGACCATGCCACCAGAGCATCCTTGAGATTTGAGATTAGTGAAACTGCTAGTTAATCCCATCACCTAAAAGTCACTTATAAATACCAGTTATTCAACAATTTATTACCGTCACCGTACTAAAGTCACAACTATACCCAAAATATTTTGCTGTGTGCTGCATAGGAGGAGGGGCACTCCAATCTCCCCAAAATATTCTAACATCATTTCTAATAACAAGATGGCTAGCATTTAATAAGACTAAGTATGAAGCCCTGTATTAGTCCCATGATCTCATTTGATCCTTTCAACAGTAATATGGCAGGATTCAAAGGGCTAGCTCAGTCCTAACTTCACCACTTCGTAGCCATGTGGCTTTATTCCCATTTGTAGACCAGGTTTAGACGACTGGTTTTGGTTACTTTGAAGATTAAGTAAATCAACATACAAAAAACACTTTAAATTGTGCCTAACATGTCTTATCTCCATTAAAATAGACGTAGATGAAAAAACTGAGACATGTTCCTCAGATGTCCAAAATCACACCAAAGAGGTACAGCTACTTGGGACATGAGATTTTAGATTCCACAATCTCAATCCCATTATTTGTGCCAAGCAGCCTTCAAGCAAATCCTCTCCAAAGGTTCTTTTTTATTAAAATATTCCAAATGCTCCATCCTCCTTGTACCCTATCATTTTTTTAACACTACTTATTAACTAGCAATCCCTCCTGGTTCTCAACCCAAGAACTAGCTACCTGAGCACAACTAAACAAAATGAGCCACTGTCATCAATTCCAACCTAAGACTCAATGTCTCAAATGTTTTAGAGCTAGACCAGAAACTATTCCCCTCCTGAACTCTAGAGTCTAACCTTTCATGACTTAAAGTCTCTAGTCCCTATACCATTTTGGTGAACATGTAATATTCTATTTTATGATAAGCCCACAAATCTAAGCAATCTATTGTCATTAAGATCTTACCTAACTCATGCTAGCCCACCTATTTCGCCCACTCACTCGGCTAAATAGAGTTTCGCAAGGCATATGCCTGGAGAATTGTCTTGTGAACAGACATAACCACAGGACTGAAGAAAAGGTACCCATCTCATATAAGCTGACCCCTCAGTGACTATTTCATCACCTCCAGAAGCAGCAGCAAAGTCCAAATCTCGGGAGAAAGCAGGCTGGTGAAGACTGAAAGCCTCTACTTAGTTTTGTTTCAGGATCAAAAGCATTTAAAACTTCTCCAGTGAAGCCAAGTTGTAGAGGTGACAGATGTAGAAGTTGCAGGAGTCTTAAGGTAGCCCAACCCTCCCCCCTCCAAAAGTACATTAACCATATGGCCCTCCCTCATCCACTCAAATCAAAGATACAGGACCCTGGAAATCATAAATCTACAAAAAGCAAAGCATGAGAAGTGAGCTATAGAATTAACACAGGTAGCATAATTTAAATAAAAGAGAATGGAGATTTTCAATCAATCTGTGAGAGGAGAAGATAAGCAATTTTAAAGCACCGGTAGCCTGAAGCTGAAGCAAGTGGGTCTGAGGACTGGAAGAAGGCAGGCAGGCAGTGATCACCTAGGCCAGGTCACCAAGAGCTTGGGCTGCAAGGAAAAAGATCAACACTGGCCAGGGGATGGCACATCAAATTGTTTCTCCCAGGGACTCAACAGTGGCAAAACCTTGGCAGGAGAGAGAGGAGGACAGAAAGCAACGCTGACAAACTATTACAAATACACAGACCACAATCACAGTCCTACAACCAACCCTCATTTTCCAGGGTAATCCCCAATTAGCCATCATTCAATTATTCAATCATTCAGTTAGCCATCCAGTCACCCACCCTCATGCAGAAAAGTGTCAAGAAACCTATCCAACAACCCTCCCATTCTTTCCCCATTCTGAAAAAGACATGAAAAGGAACGGCAAACATCTGGAGGCAAAGCAGTGAGCAGGGAAGAACGGCAGGGTACTCTGGCCCAGGACTCTGAGGTCATGCCAGTCAGCATCAATCCACAAAGATCCTAAATGTGAAGAAAGCATGTTTTTACACACCACTGAGCAAGGGAACAGGGCATCTGGGCAAACTATTGTCACGGTCATGTTCACAAGACATTGGAGAAGGCAGAACCAAACCCACCTGAACTCCACTTGATGCACCCACTGCTGCTCCCACCCACCAACGCTGCCCTGCATTCCAGGTCTCCCAAATTTACCTCTAAAACCCCATTCCCAAAGGAAAACTCAGGTGACTTTCCTATTACCCTACCCAATCGGTCTTCCACTTGCCCATCATTAAGCTCAGCCTACAAGTGCCATGTTCCATTTCTATTCACCTCTAGCCCTAGAGCAAAAGTGCAGATAGACTCTTTAATTCTTACCCTACCCAACAAGCCAACTTATTTATGCATGTACCCCAGCCCCTTTCCAACGTACACAACAGCATATCAAATAAAAACTCAGCAAGAAAGGAGCTCTGGTGGCCTAGCGGCAAGAAGGTGCACTGCAATCCCAGAGGTGAGCAGTTCGAGTCCACCAGATGCTCTGCTGGAGGAGTGACAATCTCCTCCTGTACCAGTCAGATCTGATTTGATGGTACACACAAAAAATAATAAAATTTAAAAGCATTTAAAACAAAAGCAAGGAAAAAAAACCACCTCAGCAAGACATCTGAATGTTTCAACCAACAGTGAAAGAGTCCCAGGCGATGATGATGGCAGAGGCTGGCAGGACACAGGAAGGTCACTGCAAGGTGAAGTTCAACGGGTGCTAATACTTGGTCTACAGCCAGAACCCCCTCCATCACACCGGTTTCCAACTGGTGATGCCCCTTCTTTCTCCAAACAGGGCAGTACCAGATGCTGACATCACTCCCACCCTACTCGACCCCCTCTCCTTTTGGGGTCCCACTCCCAGCACTCAAAGCCATGGTCTACAGGACATGCTAGACCATGGAAGCCTATTTCTTTCCCCACTGCTGGCTCTCCTGCCTAAAAAGCCAAACCCCAGAATCACCCTGCTGGAAGCACAGACTGTTTCCAAAGAGGAGTCAAGTCTGGAAACACGGTGATGCGTCGGTAGAAGATAACAGTCAACATGTTTACTGCACATTTGTGTGGTTAAGTCAAGCTGAGGACTGAGAAGTCCAAGCAGCTTGGGCTGAACTCTCCAGCCCTAGGGATGACGATGAGTTCAGTTCCTCCGAGTAGCAAGGAAATCATTCTAATGCCCACATTCAAACCATTTCTTTCCCACCCTAGACTCTGACTCCCCTTAGCGGTCTTGTCTTCCTGGATGTCAAAGTGGCTCCTCTGAAACCGAGTATAATCAAGACAATGACGACCAGGTTTCCAAACTGCAAATTGCCCCAAGTTTTATTGTAGTCCATACAAAAGGGGGAAAAAAATTAAAAGTTTTCTAACACCACCTACTTGGGGAGATGGGGATGTGCCATTCAACGTCTGCTAGATCAGTGGTCAGTAGATTTGGACCTAGACCAAATGACTGTCCTATCAGAAGCCCAGTCTCAACAGCGACTACAGAATGACAAAGTCAGGGCCCCTGGACAGCTGGCACAGCTTGGAGCAGAGGAAATGGTTAAAAGAACCCTTTCCTGGCCTCCTGCACATCTAAAAAGAAAAAGGCGCCGCTGACCTCAGCTGCAGGTTGCTTCCCCATCCAGACAACCTTCCACAACGCGCACAAAAATAAAATGGAGCCAGGAGAGAACAAAAAAAAGAAAAATAAATTCCCATCTGTAGAGAAGGGGAGGCAGGGGGGAGGGGAAACTGCAGATCTAAAGCCAGTGGCAAGATATGCTGCTGAGGCGAAGGAACAATGTAGATTACTGCTGAGCACTCACAAGAATCTCGGGGCAAATCCACAGTAGAGGGGATGAAAACCCACAGACGGGAGAGGGATGGGCCGATGGACATAACCTGGATCTACTACCTGTCCCACCTCTCTCCTCCCCTCCCCATGGTGCCCATCCCAGAATGGCCCTACATGCGGCGCTGGTAGCCAGAGTGCATCTGAGCTGCACGCAGGTAATCATTATAGGAGCCCGAATAGCGTGCGTAATCAGAATGGGCATCGGGCAGGCGACGGTAATCCAGCGAGGACTTTGTCGGCGAGCGGCGGAACGAGAGCTGCGACTCTGATAAACGGCGGTAATCAGAGAGCTCGGCTAAACGCCGGTCGGAACCATACCTAGTCAAGAGAAGAAGACAGTTGGTGAATGAGACAATTGAGGGGAGGGCTCCAGATGGGCATGGGGGAGATGCCAACAGGGACTGGGAGGGTGTGATCAGATTAGTCACCAATAAACAAGATTTTGTCAGAAGGCTCACCACCCTGTGCAGGCCAAGAAATCAAGCCTGGGTTCAATGCACTGGGATGCCAATTCCTCCACAGAAACCCACCCTTCTACACTGGGTGGCCAAGGTGGATTCTGGACTATATTCCCAAACCACAAGCAAAATGCCCCATCCCAAGGTGCTGCACAGAAAGACCTTGGTTGTTTATCAACAGAACGGCGATGAAAGCAAGGTCCCCAGCTGCCCACAAAGTGGACGCACCTCAGTCACTCAGTCATCAGTCAGTGACTGCTGAAGGGAGGAGTACTTCACCCCCACCTGATCCTTGAGTCACATCCTGCCGGCAATAGCTCCAATGGCACTTGGGGGCTAGCCTAAACAGGTGACCCTTTTCCCAGGCCAACTAGCTGGTACCACCCCAGGCTAGCACTATGCTTCACCAGAATCCTGGTGACCACAGTAAGTTCATAGAAACCATCCCCTAAGCCTCTGGATACCCCATGGGAGGACAGAAGACCAAGGGAGGGGCCAATGGCTCCGGTTTCCCTCCCCTACCAACCTCAGCCCCTTGCCCTATGCCCCAGCTGGGGGCAGAGGCGGAGGGGCATACAGTACCTTTTTGACATGGCGACAGCCTTTTTGTACGGATCGTCGTAGCTGGCCCGGGGTGGGGAGAGGCGGGTACGCTCATAGGGCGGCGGGGTACTGTTGGCGTTGGCTACGGCCCCCTGGGACATGGACAGGTAGGCTGCAGACGGCTGACCTGCCCCATCGTAGGCACTGCCTGGCTGGCCACGGTAGGAGGCGGCAGCCTGAGGATGCTGCTGGGCAGCATAGGAAGCAGCCAATGAGGCTGACGACTGAGTGCGGAAAGGAGCTGCCAGGGTGGCAGAAGGCTGGGCCCCATAGGCAGCTGCAGCCCCATAAGAGCCAGTGGCCGCAGCAGCCGACTGAGCCCCATAGGAGCCTGATAGGCCCATTGATGCTTGAGCCCCGTAACTATTTAGTTGGGTCTGGACAACAGGCTGAGCCCCGTAAGAGCCAGCCATTGGAGTGGTGGCTTGCGCAGCGTAGGCGGCGGGCTGGCCAGCATATGCAGCTGCTGTGGCTGGCTGCGCCACATACGCAGCAGGCTGCGAAGAGTAGGAAGCGGCCTGTTGAGCAGCATAGGGACCAGACTGGGCATTGTAAGAGGCTGAGGGCTGGGCATTGTAAGATGCTGCCTGGGCCCCATAAGCTAATGAGGAAGCCGACTGGGCCCCATAGGAAGCTGCCTGGGCCCCGTAGGAACCAAGGGAGGAAGCTGCTCCCTGGGCATTGTATGAAGAGGCTGCACGAACCCCATAGGAGGAGGCAGCCTGTGCGCCATAAGAGGATGGCTGGTTACCATAGGAGGCAAGGGAGGAGCCCTGTGCCCCATACGAGTTGAGTGAAGACGCTGCTGCCTGACTCCCGTAGGAGGACAGAGCCGAGGCTGAAGCCTGGGCTCCACCATAAGGGCCAAGTGAGGAGGCTGCTGCAGACTGGGAGCTAGGGCTGGCCAGCTGGCCCCTATACGGGCCCCCAAGGGAGACAGAGGGCTGAGCACGGTAAGAGGCTGCCTGGGCTGTCAGAGGCTGAGTCCGATAGCCGACACCCAGAGAGGCAGAAGGCTGGGCCCTGTAGGCAGCTCCCAGAGACACAGAGGGCTGGGCCCGGTAAGTAGCTGGCTGTGCCGTCAAAGGAGCCACATAAGAGGCTCGGGGAGGTGAACGGCGCAGGGGGCTGCGGTCGCGACCAAAGAAGGGTGGTGTGGGCTGACGGGCTTGCCCATCAAAACCACCAGTGCTGTTGCCAAAAGCCTGCTGGTAGTCGAAGGTGGCAGAAAAGCCCCCAGTTCCAGGGAATGCCGTATCCCCAGCCCCAGGTTTCTTGGTCTTGTCCCCAGACTGGATAGCCAGGCCAGGCCCTTTCTTCTGACCCTTGGTTGAGAGTTCCACGTTGATGCGCTTGCCCTTCACTTCTTTGCCGTTGAGCTGCGCGATGGCGGCTTTGGCATCTGCTTCCTTCTCCATGTGAACAAACGCGTAGTCTAATAAAGCAGCAGACAAAGGGTTAGCAATTAGGGGGGCAGGGCATGCTACTGGATGGCTCCCAAACTGGATACACAACAAACAGCAACCAGCTGTTGCCAGCTACCTCTAGGCCTCCAAACCCTTCTTGAAGAGTATGTCATAGAAGTGGGTCCCACAAAACAAAGCTGACTGCTTCATGCAGTCCCCTAACCTGTGGTCTTCTCCCTGTTCTCCCCTTTTCCTCTGCCACCTTACTCAACTTGCTGATGACAGAAGAACAAAAATGAATTGCAGCACAGGACAAAAAACCTTCATACCTCTAAGTTAAACCAGCAAAGAAAACACAGGAAGGAGTCTTGAAGGATTTGGTCATTTGGTTTTCTCTAATTCAAGTTCCTAGCTCACTCCAAGGCTCAGCTCTCCAGTCTCCCACACTGAAAATGACCACTCACAGGCTCAGCATGGCTCATCTCAGTCCACTGTCTAAATAAGAGAGCTAGACCATTCACAGAATTCCAACATCAATATCCCCAATTTTCCCAGCACTCAGTTCTTATAACCCTATGACGTAGGCATGGAAAGATTATTGTCCCCATTTTACAGATAGGCAAACAGGCTCAAAGAAATTTGTATGGTTTGCTTCAAATCATGCGAGTAAAGACTAGGTAGAGAACAAGACAAGAATTCCAGCTCTTCAGGGCCATTTCATTCTAACAACTTATCTTTTAGAAATCAATGTGTAAGACAAGACTCTGCAGTCAGATTAGAAACCCATGTTTAGAATGGATAAAGCTAAATCTCCCTGTAAGACAATGAGGAATGGAATTTAAGGCTCCTGACATGTAGAATTCAGGTCCAAGAACATTACTCCTCAAGCCATGTATTGTCCACATCTGATCTTCCAAAGATAGAAAAGCAAACTATTTCTATTTACAGCGCAAATTCTGTTTCCAGCTAGCAGGCTCTACCAAGTTAGTTATCTCTGAGACCCTCGGCCAAGATCCAAAGAACTGCAGATATTCATGCTTGTTTCTACAGCAACTAGCTCCAAACAAGAGGCTTTCAGACAGGGAAGGGTGGGAAGAAATACAAACCACAATAGTGCAAAGACAATTTGAACAGCTGGAGGTTCATGTTCACAGGACATAAGGGCACGCACTAAACGCCACTCTGGAACTGTGAACTACTTAAAAGGTGGAGTCCAAGTAAGTGCCAGGGTATCGCCATTAAAGATCACCTTGAAGAAAATAAAGAACAACTGGATGAAACTATTAAGGTTGTCTTCTTTCAAAAGTCCTCTTAATAGCTTCCTAAGGAGTCTTCTTTTCCAGAAGCTTATACACCAAGGTATCGTCAACTGCTATTCCTATACAGTAATCTCGATTTGAGAGCTATGCCACTAGTTTATGTCTCATACTAAGAAAAATAGCAAGTAGATCTCAGAAATGTGGTGTAGAACAGGATCCTTGATTAGGAATTTAAAAGCCTCAGTTGTAGGTCTTAATTTTTATCAATGGCCTTTTAAGATTTTGAGGAATTTACAATATATTTCTCTATCTGATAAATCTAACTTAACTACCTCAGTGTTAGGAGGTTCAAATAACTTAAAAGTAACTTAGAAAGTATAAATAGCAACATCACATTATAGAGCCTTACAAATTCCAGAAATAAACAGACATTTACCTCCCTACAGAATTATCTTTTGCCACTACTAAAACACTAAAGATACAATGTGTACATGCAAACTTGCAATTTGTCAGAGATAAAAGAAGAAAATAACTATCACAACTGTCTTCACTCCCCCATGGCCAGACATGATTCCTTACCTACAAATTAGAAAGTTTAAGCATCCTTCTGCCAGACTACTAAAGCTGTTCTCTGATGTCTACTGTGGATAGAATGAGTTTAAAATAGGTGCTGGCAACCTGAGACCTCTTCAAAATCAGATTCTGAACTGACCTTCAGGGAACCAGCAAAACCACCAGGAGGGCAACATCCAAGAGGCACTCACTAAAGAGAAAACAGATCTTCAGGAGCTTGGATGCAAGGCAAGAAAGGGGCAAAGCTAGCTCCAGGCACTCAAGAACTGCATTTTCCTCCCAAGACTAGAATGAGCGAGGGAGGGATTAGACAAAACCACTCCCAATGTACTTAAGAGATCACTAGAACATATCCAGATTTTTTTTCCAGAAACCAAGTAATAAATACAAGTTTGAAAAATGAAATCTCACATGTATAATTCAAGTGACCACCCAGATAAGCTACATTTCTGTGTCTCCAAAAGTAACCTGATGCAATGATAATCAAGTTCTACTCAAAGTTCCTAGGCCTGGTTTCAGAGGGGCATTTAACTGACTTAATGACATCAGGGCTAGGTGTCATCATGGAAAGGAGCCAAACTCAGTCCTGGATGATCAAGTACCCCACACACACCAAGAGGTTATCAATGATGCCCAGGAATCCAATTACTGCTTAGACAATGAAGAAAAACCAGGGATCTAGAGAATTCCAAGGACACACACACCTGGAGCACACGTGCAAGGAAGTGACCTCAAAAAATGCCTAATGCAACCCAATCGAGAGTCCAACTCATTCCAACAATTCATCGGGTTTTCAAGGTCCTTTTTAAGACAACATTTCCCACCTTTCTTCCTCAAAGTGACTGGTGGATTCAAACCATCAAACTTTCAGTTACCAGCCTAGCATGTTACTAGTTATTGCTAAATGCCTTCGAGTCGAGCACGACTCATAGCAACTCTACGAACAAAAAGGTCTGAAGCCACTCTACAACTATCAACATTCATCAACGTTCATAAGCTTTTAAAGAGATTAGCAAGCAGCATTTTACAGCACTCTCAGTGGCATCAAAAATCCTCAAGTAACAAAGTTAGATTAAAAGGAGGGAAAAAAGAAATTGTTTCCTACTTTCCTATCCTAAGAAGAATAAAAAATTCTCCCTTTGAATGAACAATGTAGCTCTGTAAAGGAGAAAAGAGGGAGTTCTGGTGGCTTAATGGTAAAGAATTACTCTGTCAACCAAAAGACACCAGCTGCTCCACAGAAAATGGGCAACTCTTCCAACTATGATTTACTGTCTGAAAACCCACTGCAGTGTCTGCTTTGAGTCATTTCCAACTCAACAACAGTACACAACAAATGGCCAGTCACACACAAAAAAACCCAAAAGGAGGTATTTCCTCCTCTGGCTTTCAGACCCCCCTTAAATCTGAAATGATTCCCAAAAGGATATAGCTATGGAAAGCAGTTACAATCTGCTGTTGTATAGAAATTTTTTTCTACAAAGAAAGTCACATCTAAGCTCCTGGGGTAACCAAGCAACTATGTGACCCCCATCCACATCCTCCATGAAATAATAACCGTAACTGGCCGTCCTGTGCTCTCTCTGCCAGGCTTCCATGCTTCTCAAAGACCCAAGAAGTAGCTGTCAAACAAAGACCCATTTTCTGTCCAAGAAATCACTTAGCTATTTACAGTCATAGTTGGCCTCTTTGCATAGAACCCCAAATTAAAACTTTTCTTTCCTTCACTCCAAAGAGGCGGGGAAGAATCAGTGGACAGGTCATCCACACACAGCCTATCACAGGAGCTATAATACACTTTAGTGTGACAATTATCATCCACACCACTCATTTCTGCTGCACTCAAGTATTTAAAGATACAAAACTTTTCTCACAATCCCCTACAGCAGCCAGGCCAAGAAATTATGCTAAAGCACCTCATGGATTGGTGTTAAGTCCTGAGCACATGCAGGTACACGCCCAGTGTTCTCCACCAACCAAACACAAGCTTTTTGACCATATGAATTCCATGGAGACTGTCCTTAGCCACCTAACCTAAAAACCAAGTAAAAAACCCAGCTGGTCAACTATACACAAGATGCTACCAACATCTATCCAACTCTCAAAACCTTTGAAGAAACAACAAAACAATTTTTAAAAAGGGCTCTACAAGAAACATGTCCATGCACTTGGTAGCCTCCCTCAGAGCACCCAGCAGCCTGTGGACTCACAAAACCTGGGTTGAGGAAAAGAGAAAGCAGAAATTAGGGCAGATCAAGGCACTAGTCCTAACAGAGACTGCAAGCTTTTGCCCTACTTACAGAAAGAACAAGTAACGACCCCAACGATGTGCCTCCCCAGAACAGCAAATGGAGCATCTCCTGCAAAGAAGCACCTGCCCTCATATTTACTCTCTTCAAAACTCCTTGAGCAAGGAGTGAACAGGTGGGACTCCAGGCTGGGCTGGAAACTGGCAGGGCCAGGGGAATTCGCCATCAGTTCCCAGGACAATGGAGGCAACCCAAATAATCTTGCTAGCATTTAAGAAAAAAAAAAAAAATAGGAGACCTCAGGAGCGGGAAACCCACAATGTGAAAAAAGCATTTGGGTCTCAAAACGGGCTGAAATAACGATGACACATTTTTCAGAGAAAAAGCATAGCAGGGACCTAACTTGAAAAAGAAGTTACTCAAGCAATGACTAGTAAGTAAATTACGTGCAGCCAGTATTTAACCAGAACCTCTAGTCCACCCCGCCTCCAGACTTAAGATTGTGGCCCTTGCAAAATCAAGCTAATAAAACAATGACTACAGGGGACACTGCCGTGGGGCACAGGTATGCAGGGAGGTAAAGGGCCCCTGACACAAGCCTCCAACCTCATGCGAAAAAGGTCAGATTTCCACCTTCCAGATGTAGAATCCAGCCCCAAAGAGGCAAAAACTCGAGGCTGAGGGTTTGCAAACCAAGACCTGCCGCACCTAACCCACCCCAAAAGTAGTCAAGAGGCCAAAGTGCTTCGGAAGGGGCCCCTCTTTATACCAGCGAGTGGTAACAATACTAAAGAGATCCCAGCCCCAAAACGTCCAAGGGCCCCGTTACCTTCCACTCGGGAGCACTCATCGGGAGGGAAGGCGAGGGCGGCCTTGGGGCGCGAGCCCCCACCTGTTCCCTCTTCCCTCGACTCACAGGCGTCTGCAGGGAAGTGGGGAAGTGGCGAAATCTTCCCCGCTCCATCATCCGGCTCGTGCCCAATTTCCGCTCGCTGCCCGGCGCGGGGGGCGACGGGAAGGCGCGCCCCCGAGAACCCTCGCCAGTCTCGCAGGCGCGACCCCGGCCCCGCAGTCCGGCTCCGGGCAGCCGCCGCCGCGCCCACCCAGAGCCGCGTCCTCCCGCGAGGTGAATGTTGCCCAGGGAGAAAGGGGGGGTCTCTGCCCCAGACACCCCAGCACCGCCGGCCTCGGTCCCGCAGAACCGCCCCCCGCACCCGCCTTCCCACCGCGCAGTGGCCGACCCCAGGGACAGGGGCGTGGCTAACAAGCAGTGCCCGCGCGCCCGCCCCGAGCGCGTCCCCGCGTTACCTTTCACCACGTCACACTCGATGACGCGTCCGCGGCGCTCGAAGAGACTGCGCAGCTCCTGGCTGGTGCACGCCGCCGACACATTTCCCACGAAAATCTTCCAAGTGTTAAGCGGCCGGGGGCGCGACATCTCCACTACTAGCGCGCGCCCCGGCCGCAGCTCGTGGCCGTGCAAGGCCTCGATGGCGCGCAGCGCGCCCGCGGTCTCGCGCATGTGCACGAAGGCGAACTGTTTCATGACGGCGCAGCTCATGACCGTGCCGTAGGGCGCGAAGAGGGCTGCCAGCTCCTCCGGAGTCGTATCGGCCCCATCAACATTGCCTACGAATATCTTCATCTTAGCGCCGAAGCCGCCTTACTGGAGAGATCTAACCTCTCCTCCAGCGACAGGCGACACGTCTCAACGAACAGCAGTCTTCCCCAAGAATGGCTGGCGACGAGAACCCCGCCGCGCAGGCGCACTGGCGCACTGCCCCACCCAATCAGAAACGACATCGCTCACAGCCAGCAGCCAATCAGTGGAAAGTGGAGGGAGGTGGTAGCAGGATCAGCCAATCCCAGAAGGCGTAGAGCCCGCGCGTTAGCGAGGGGGTGGGAAACAGACGGCGGCGCGCGACCAACGGCCATCGCCAGGGGGAGGGAGACGGAAACGGAGGTTGCGCGCGGGCGGTTGGGGTGTCCAGCGGCCTAGTCTGAAAGGCGGGCACGACTCGGGTGCCGCCAAGTTGGGTCCCAGGAAGGAAAACTTTGTTCAATTCCAGTCCGGCTCCTCCTTTTCTGGCAGCCTTGGTTTTATCCGCCCCAGGAGTTTGCCCTGGGACGAAACTTGGGAAGACTGCACTTGTCCGGAGGGAACCGGGCCGACGCCTTCCGCAGGCAGACGGTTCTCGGGCTGCAATGGGCGGCGTCTGACGGCCCGGGAAAAGCCTTCACCACATGAATTCATTCTTTGCAGACACATTCCTGAGGATGCCTTGGTCTCGAAGACGCTGGCGACGGTGGAAAATCAGAGCGCGTTCCCGCCCTTAACGGAATTTCCAGTCGCGAAATGATTCTCCTTTGTGTGTGTGAGAGATTTTCCACAATAAAAAGTTTCATGAAATAGACAATCAGATGAAAACAACGATTCTTGAGGGGAATAAAAAAAAATGAGCCCAGAGAACCTCGAAACAAAATTGTAAAGACGCATAAATTTGAGTTATGTAGACTTAAAGATTTTTTGCACGGCCGAAGACAACCAAAAATGGGGAGATTGCTGTTGTGAGGATTGTAATTCCTATCAGGAAACATAATGTGTATGAATTGTTGACTGGAAAAATCAGTTTGCTCTCTCAGATAAAATTCAAAATCACATTGCTCTCTAAAATACCATTCAAAATCACAATAAAAAGTTAATATAAAAACAAAGCTACAGAACCGAAACCAAACCCTGGACAAGTCCAGCGGTAAATAGTTATGGTGGAAAAGACGGCTAATCCTTCCCATGATTTATGTGGACCCTGTTGTTGGCAGGTGGACAAGTGGCCCAAAAATACATACCATTAGGGCTCATCAAATTAAAAAAAAAATTAAATTAAAAAACCTTTAGAACCACCTCAGATACTGGCCTGTGTTTCCTTCAATAAATTCAAATTGAGCACCTACGATGTGGGCATCAATGTGAATATAACAGTGAATAAAAATGATAAAAGTTACTCACTTGGAGTTTAAAGTCTGGTGGATAGAAATGGACAGTAAAATATATAATAAGAGAAGAGGCAAACCAAGCATATAGATAGATGTCTAGGGGTAGGTCTTTCCAGTCAAAATATCTTGAGCATGTCTGAGCAGTTCAAGGTCTAGGAAAGATCAAGTATGGCTGGGACTTGAAAGAGAGCAGACAATAAGGAAAGCAAAAAATATCCAAAGAGGGGGCTATGTAGTTATTACCTGATGTTGTTGTTATGTGCCGTCGAGTCGTTTGCGACTCATAGCAACCCTATGCACAACAGCCCTAAACCCTGCTCTATCCTGTGCCAACCGCACCGCCTCTGACACACCCATCCCGATTGCCCCAGTCACCGAATCAATCCATCTCATAGAGGGTCTTCCCCTCCTGCGCT